CAACCAAAATCCTTATTCATTCTAACATTTCCAATCCCCCCTTCAAATCCACTTTTACCATATTAGACCCACTTTCAAATCCAACTTTCTTCTTCTTTATATACATTATCTACACTTTAAAATTTTCTTTATTTGAACCAATGACAAATCAAACATTGCAAATTTTGGAAGTGGATGAGCAAGAATCGCTTTCAAACAACTGATGGTATGCTTTATAATTTGAAAATTAATGATTTCTTGTTATTTTCTAGTTGTATACTATTAAAAATCAATTGGGTAAGCAAAATTTGCTGTGAAATATAAAAACAGAAAGGTGCCATTTTTCTATAACTGAGTGCTGCTGTAATTTGATAATGGTGGTATTGATGTAGTTGTTTGTAAATCAGACATTCCTCAATTCTTTTATAGCGTTATATTATTTTAAACAAATTTAAATGGTAAATACCCGTTTTAAACTACAAAATGCCATTTTTTATCTAATTTAAATATGTCATGTAACAATATTGGTTGCCTTTTGTTTATTATTGAAGCTCTATTTTATATTATTTGGTTCTGATAGTTAATAGAATAATATATTACATATGTTTTGGTGAATTGCAGATATAGACTTTGATGCAATGATTGTCATTTTGTTGAATTTGAAAAGAGTGATCAAGATGGATGGATTTGGAAATGGATAGGGAATTATCAAGAAACTGCAACAAATATTTTTGTGTCAAAAACTATTTCACATATGGAGTTGTATGAGGAAGTCAGAAAAGCAATTAACTTTGATTCTGTCATGTATGACATTGAGATGAAATCTCTTGTACCTGACATGACAAAATTATCAGTTCTGCCAATGAAAATTAATTACGATAGGGATGTTAGTTGGTTTCTCTCTTTGCATGACCAAGTTCCAATTTGGGTAACCCTTGTGGAAAAAAGTTATGTTGATGATCAACAAGACATGGAGCTTGATATGGTAAATATTCAAGAGAATCATGAATACAATCCTAAAGTTGTTGTAGATAATGTGGAGGATATGGATGAATGCAATATGCAAAAAGATAAGTCTGGTGATAAATATATGGAACCGTTATCTCTATTTAATCAAAATTGTGAAAGTGATTGTGTGAACTTTACAAGTGATGATTAATGGGATGGGGTGGAAATAGTGCATAACAACCACAAAGATGATTTTCATGTGATGAATGAAGACAATGTTACTCATAATACACTGTTTACATTGGCAGATGAGATTATTAGCATTTCACAAGTTGTTGATTGTCCGAATCCTTGTGGAACATCAGTTAAGATTCCTAACGCCGATGATGTACACGTTAACCAAATTTTTCGCAATAAGAAGGATCTCCAGACTTCACTACAAATGCTTGCTTTAAGAAATTCTTTTGAATTTAAGGTCACTGAGTCAAATAAGAGTACATATGTAGTAGTTTGTCTTGAGAAAATTTGCAAATGGCATTTGCGGGCAACACGGTTGAAGGAAAGTTATGAATTTGAGATTCAAAAGTATTTACGTTATCACAATCGTTCACTGGATGTTCGCCACAAAGATCATAGACAAGCTAGTTGTTGGGTGATTAGAAAACACATCATGTCGAAGTTTGAGGATCCCAACGTTATATACAGACCTTCGAACATTCAAAATGATATTCTTCGGGAGTTTGGCATAGATAAAAATAATTATAAGGTGTGGATGGCTAGAGAATGTGCTTTAGAGCTATTAAGGGGTTCACCTGAACTTAGTTATGATAGATTGACCAAATATTGCAATATTCTGAAGAAGAATAATCCCGGTACAGTAACGTTCATTGAGTTTGATAATGAGAATCGTTTCAAATACTTTTTCATGGCTTTAGGACCAAGCATACATGGTTTTCACTCATCAATGATTAAAGTTACACAGTTCGACCCTAACAATACCTAGAGGGGGGGTGAATAGGTATATTATGCGGAATTAAAAATATTTTACGAATTAAACAATAACAAATCACTTTTAATTCTTCTCTAGATGATTAAACATGCAAGCAATTTTAGTCATAAGTTTGAATACTACAGTTTATGTGGTCAATCAATAAGAAGCAATAAATCGGCACCATGATGATCACGGAGAAACCGAATTAGAAAAAACTTTGGGCACTTTGTCAGTCAACAATCCACTATAAACGATTTGTAACTTACAGTCTACCAGACTAAACGATGACACGTACTATCTGATCTCTTGACTACAATTCCAACAGCTTTCCTGGATTCTGTGCTCCGGCACCACTTCTAGCTGCAGTTTCCAAAGCGCTTCTGGATTCTACTCTCCTACAGCAACTCCTAACTTTGTGAAATCATATATCTCCTGGATCCACGAAGAACACCGCGTTCCTCAACGAATGGAACTCTAGTTAAACTTCATCGATCTTCAGAACTCTGATCGGATATAGAGGAAAAGTAGTTTGGTATTTGGATTATAAAAATAATGTTTTTCTCACCAAAACAATCAAAGTAGTTGAAGGTTGAAAGAAGGAATTGAATGAATCTCTTACAAATGTAGCTCTCTTAATGTTCAACATCATGAATTTTCATATAAAAGTGTTTTGGTATATATAGGTAGGTTAGAAAAACGAATGGGCCTAGGATAAAGCCTTTAAATCGCGAAATAAAAAATTTCCTGATAAACCTGTCGCTCAAGTGAAGGCTCAGCAATAGTCGAGCGACAGTCAGTGAAGTAGGGGCAACAGTCCAGCGACGATATTTCTACTTTTGTAGCTCGAGCTAAACCTTAGCAATAGTCTAGCGAAAATCCACGTCGTTTTCCTATCTTTGCCATTCTCGAACCCTAGACCTAATAACCCTATTTTCAACTATTTACACATTACCCCTTGACTTTTAAACATAGTACAATTCAGTCTTTTTGTTTACAGAATTGCCAATTACAAAACATCGAAAACCTAACAAACTCCCATTTTGACATTCTGTGACAAAACTACTAAGTCAAGGTAATAATCAAAAATAAATTACAGACTTAAAACCTATGACAAACTAACTGACTTGAACAATTCTGCAATTTAATAAGCATATGTTTCCTGAAACAAATAACTCAACGCCCAATTTAAAATGTGTGAAAAACAGTGTAATAAACAGTTCAAGCAGTTTATATCATTTAGGCAATCTAGAAACATATGATGTTATTCAGTTTCGATCATGTATGCTAAATCAAGACATAATATCAATGCAATCCAAAATACCAAGAAGACACATGAATACTACGAAAACATCAAACTTAATTTAGCATATCCGAAACAAAAGTATAAAATGCATTTGAGTCAAATAAAGATCATTTTATATCAAAAAATTAATAACATCCAGATTTTCGATAAATAGATACATCATGTAAGTATAAAAAAATAGATATCTACTATCCCCCTATCAAAAAGACATATGTACTACCGTCTGCCATATCTATTCCCCCTTTTTGTCACACAATGACAAAGGATAAAGAATAACATACAATATCTTAAGAATGTAGGTGTAAGTAGTCAAAAGTATATGCAATGAACAATAAACTTTCCCTCAAAACTAACCTAAAGTATCCATGGAGTAAATGATATAAGTCACCCATATGTGTTAAGTGCCACTAATCCTCTGATAGTAGGACTCCAAACCTTAATTTTGTGAGAAAGGACGTGCAAAACATTACTGCTAATAAGTATATTCCTCTACTTATGAAAGTCAAACCAGTAAAACACATTAGAACCTACATATGAAAGTTCATTTTTATGGAGAATGTCTTTTCAACCCCCTGACTTGTAGCATAAAACATTTATCTTATATCACAGCAGTAAACAGAAATGCTCATATATATTTTTTTCATCTTAAGTGCATGCTTCTTTTCATTACGAGACTAACATGACCCCTATAATGAACTTTAGGCCAGTTATCCCAAGTCAGTTGACCATAGGCACCAGGCTATGAGAAATCCCGTAAGCTTAATTACTCAA